TTCTGGCTAGAGGGCCATCATTCTTGTTAATTCTTTCAAAGAATCAGCTTTTTGTTTTATTGGTGTTTTCTATGATATTTTTGTCTTCTATGTCCCATCTTTGGGATCTTATTTTGGTGATCCGGATTCTTCTGCCGAAGTTAGGGTTCTGGTGGTCTTCTCTTTCCAGCTCAATTAGGTGACTTGTTAGGCTGTGAACTTGTGATCTTTCCATTTTCTTGATGTGTGTTCATAGAGATATAAATTCCCCTCTTAGAACTGTTTTCATGGCATCCCAGAGGTGTTGGTAATATGTTTCTTCATTTTCATTTGTTTCCAGGAATCTTTTATTTTCTGTTTTGACTTAAGTGTTGATCCAGTAGTTGTTCAGCATCATGCTGTTTAGTGTCCACATCTTTGTGGGCTTTGGGGAAATTTTGTTGGTATTAATATTTATTTTTATTGCACTGTGGTCTAAGAAGGTGCATGGCAACATTTCAACCTTATGGAATTTGTTTAAGCTTGATTTATGGCCAAGGATGTGCTCAATCTTGGAGTACGTTCCACGTGGTGATGAGTAGTATGTATATTCTGTGTTTGTTGGGTAGGATATTCTGTAAGTATCTATTGATTGAGTGTCAAGTTTAGGTTCCAGTTCTACTTGTTGATTTTTTTGCCTTGATGATCTATCTATGGCTGTTAGTGGGGTATTTAAGTCCCCATAGTCCCCTATAATAGTGTTAGAGTCAATATCTTTTTTAGTTTACTTAGTAGTTGTTTTATAAGTGCCAGTGCTCCTGTTTTGAGTGCATATATGTTTAGGATGCCTATTTCTCATTGATGGATTGAACCATTTATCATTATGTAGTGTCCTTTCATATCTTTTTACATTTTTTATAGCTTAAATGTTGTTTTTTCTGATACTAAGATTGCGACTCCTGTTTTTTTTTGTGATACAAGGAGAGACTTTAAATGAGATCAGAGGATTTGGGGCAGGTGCCTAAGCAGCACTATTGTTGAAAGGAAAGACAAAGACTACTTTGGTCAAAGAGAATGAGAAGAAGTGGCCACAGATGTGCAAGCAAAACTAAGAGAGTGCTGGTCTTGAAGTGAAGAGGATAGCATACTTCCACTCAGTGAGTTAGGAATCAATCAGGTTTAACAGAGCCAAGAAGCAAGATGAAGACTGAACAGTGCCTACTGGATTTTATGACAAATATTTCACCAGTAATAGATGTAATTTTAAATTTTGATTTTTAAAATATCATATCTGATGTGTAATTTTATGAAGTTAATGGTTAACTAGCATTTAAATGAGCAACAATACATTTATTCTCAGTAACTGAAATGAATTTTCCTACAACATTCAAAGTACGTGAAATGGCACAGTTGGTTTTTTATTTTGAGGTATATCATACATACACAAAAAGTATATAATATGTGTATACTGTTTAAGGCAAAAAATAAGATGAAAACCCATAAGCCAGGTTAAGGAATAAAACATTACCAGGAATTTAAAAGGCCCCTATGCTCCCCTCACCAATCCCATATGTCATTGGTCCCCTAAGAAGTGATCAAAATCTGAATTTTTTTATAATCATTCCATTCTTTTCTTTAGATTACTGCACATGTGTGTTCCTCTTATAAAATATTGTTGGTTTGAAACTTCTAATAAATACAACCCACAATGTAATCTTTTGCAACTTGCCCATTTTGTCCAACATTATGCTTTTAAGATTCATCCATGTTGATGCATATGGCTATAGTCTATTCATTTTCGTGCTGTATAGTATTTTGTTCTATGACTAGTATATAATATAATTTATCCATTCCACTATTGATGGATACTTGGTTTGCATTTCATTATTTTGCTATTATGAACAATATAAGTGTTAATACTCTTAAGCATGTCTCATGGATACAGTCACAGGTAGCCTAGACTCTCCTGCTATTCATAGTTCCAATATATCTCCCCATTTATGTCTGCTGTTCTTATCCAGTGACATCCAAGATTGCTATAAGGAGATTATTCTAATGATGCAGGCACATACTTTGAATGGGAACTTCATCATTATTTTGAAATATTTGATATGGAATGGTTGGTTTAGATTCAATATCCATTAGAAGCGTAACTAGAAGTTTCAACGTATTCGTCAAAAAAGAGAGAAAGGTATTGGATTCTGTAAATAAATGGTAACTGCTAATTTTTGAATGATTGTAAAAAAAAGATTTTAAATTTTACATTACTTGCTTGTGGTAAAAAATTTCTCATCACTGGTGACTATCCAGAATTTAAAGGGATCATGACTGAAAGTCTTGAACAGAATCATGCATAGTCATTTCAGGCTAAATATATATATATATACAATTATGAAAAATACTATGTCCATGAAAGTGAGTTCAACTTTCCAATTTTTTTATTTTTATTTTTGTAGAGATAGGTTCTCACTATGTTGCTGAAGCTGGTCTTGAACTCTTGCTCTCAAGCGATCCTCCCACCTCAGTCTTCTAAACTCCTGGGATAGAAATGAGCCACTAGGCCTAGTCCAAGTTTCCCATTTTAAAAATAAAAATTATTTCATCTGTACATCTTATGCAAATTCAATACCTTCCTGAACACCTTTTGTAATAGCCAGACTCCAAGATAGTACTCCATGATTCCTGTTCCCTAGTATTCACATCCTTGTACAATCCTTTCCCATACTGAATAGAGCAGAAGTCTGCAACTAATAAGAATATCACAGAAATGACCATGTGTGGTTTCCAAGGCTAGGTCATAAAAGACCCTATACCTCCTGCCTTGCTCTCCCTTAGATTACTTGGTCTGGGGAAGCCAGCCACATGTTAGAAGGATACTCAAACACCCAATGGAGAGCTCTGTATGCTGAGAAACTGAAGCCCCCTATCAACAACAGCCAGCACCAATCCACTAGCATGTGAGTGAGCCAGCTTGGAAGTGGCTCCTCCAGACCCAGTCAAGCCTTCAGATGATGTAACCCCTAATGACACCTTGCCTGAAAAGTCATGAGAGGTTGAGTCATAAACCACTCAACTAATCTGCCCCTAAATTCCTGACCTACCATAAACTGTGTGAGAAAATAAATGTTTATTGCTATTTCAAGCTACCAAGTTTAGGGGTAATTTGTCACACAGTGATCGATAACTAATATACTTTTTATTTTTCTTCTCTGAATTACTTAATAAAATCTCATTATTTTCAATAAATCCCATATAGATGCCCCCAAATCACCTTCGGAAAAGAAGATATGGTGTCTTGCTGAAGAAAAGAAATCAAAAGCTGGAATTTCTCATGTTCAGGAGACTTCACCCCCAGACCAACATTATTAAGTCATGTTCACAGACTCCTTTGTTTCTGTTTGTATGTATATTGAAGCCAGGGGACAAAAGGGATGAAGGACAAAACAGGGCACAGTGTGGGTGGCAGAAATTTTATTTGAAATGTTTGTTGGAAGTTAATGGTCCTGACTTCACTCTGAATACAAAACATGAGCAGGGTTGACAAATGTGAAGGCCCCAAGCATTACAATGATAATGATGTCTTCCTGTGTGCAACAACAACAAAAACCCTACACACAACTAAGATATGTGTCAAGGCCCCTGACATTTTTATTTCTCCATGATGCTTTTTTTGAAATGTCAATTATCAAATTCATTCTAAAAATCATTTAGGTTTCCCACTTTGTGCGTTTACTCATAGTTGTCGCTTATTCTTTACTCCAGCAATGATAAAACACTCTTTAAAAACATAAAGATTCATTTCTAATGTGAACGGTTTTCATGACAGCAATTTCTGGGCCCCAGTTATTATGAAATTCATCAGTTTACCTGTCAAACACTGGTGTTTTCCTGAGGGACTCTTGTTAGTCAAGCTGCCTCTGATAAGTGCTTATTCTCTTAACACTCCTTTGAAGCTCATTGTAAACATCTTTTTTACCCTGAAATTCTGCAGTCCCTAAGAGGTGACTAAAATCAAGGCGGAGATGGCAAGACAGAGGGAAGTTCATTTCAGTCCTGCAGACTTCATGTTGCCCAAGTTGTTCATTTCTTTGGCAAACATGCATTGCCACATGCATGAAAAGGGCCAAGATATTTATTCTGATTATGCAGAATGACTCAGCAGATGTCAAATGCTAATTTCTGGGGTCTGGCAAGGCACTTTACATTATCCCTTTTTGAAGATGATATTCAAATATAGGGTAAGATGGGGAGGTTCTGAGCATCTTGCATATTTACAAGTGCTTTGCTACATTTCGCAATAACTGATTAGGGGCCATACCCATGGAAATCAAAAGGCGTTTAAACCTTATTTGTCCCTTTGGTAGATTAAACACATGCTTAAGACATTGGCAAAAACAAGGCACCTAAAAAACTTTTTTTTTTTGATAATTGATATTAAATTTTTGAAGTGAGCTGTTCAGTGATAACTACTAGCCACATGTAACTATTTAATTTTAAAATTAAGTAAAATTAAACATTCAGTACTTGAAATGTGGCATCAGCACATTTCAAGTACTTTATAGCCCGCATGTGGCTAGAACAGATATGGAACATTTTCACCAATGCAGGAAGTTTTATTGGACAGCACTCTTCTAAAGTTTCTAATTTGCCATTATGGAAAAGAAATAAAAACCTCATTGAATATCCTTACATCTGTTTTATGATTTGGCATTGTGTTTAAGTTGGAATTACACAGTTGGGATAGAGGTGAGAGAATTATGCCACTTTCAATGTCTGGAGACGTCTAAAGAAATTAATCTGACCTTGGCCAAAAGGACCCTTAACAACATTTATATGCTGATCTCCTCTCCGCGCACCCCCCATTGCTCTCCACAGACAACCTCGAGCATCTCTAAACCGCCCAACCAGACTCTAAGTAGGAGCCTGGCCTTGTCTCCCAGCAACAGCGATGCGACCCCGCCCCTTCCTGCTGTCCCGCTCTTACCTTATTAGCCTGGAAGGGGCGGAGCCAGGGGTCGTGTGCCCAATAGGAGGGGAGCAGAGGAGGGCGTCCGGACCGCGTCCCCGTCGCCAGGGAAACCGAAGCAACCCTCAGTCGCGCGCGATGCTTAGCGCTGGGGAGCTAGCCGCGCTCGCGGAGGAGAACGTGGGCCGGGAACCCGGCGCCGACCCACGACTGAGACTCCTGGGGACCTTTGTGACCCAGAGTCTGCGGCCGGCTGCAGGCGCCTGGGAGCGCTGCACCGGGACTTCCGAGGTGGGGCAGCTGCTCCAGGCCTTCCTGGGCCAAGATGCTGCGGAGGGTCCGCGGCCGCTGCTGGTGGTGCGGCCCGGGGCCGGGGACCTGGTGGTGCGACCCGGGCTGGACGCGGGACCCGTGTTGGGCCCGGCTCGCGCTAAGGGGCTTTTTTTCCTGCGCACCAGGCCCGAACCTCCAGGGCCCAACAGACTCCGCGGCGCAGTGCTGTGCGGGGACCTGCCCGTGGCGCCTCTGGAGCACCTGGCAGCGCTGTTCTCCGAGGTGAGGGTGGGTGGGTGAGTGGCCCGGGGGGCTGGTAGTAACTGGGGTGGGGGAGGGGAGGAGGAGCCACGAGGGGCGGAGGCGGGGCCAGAGGGGGAGGGGCGAGACTGCAGGGGAGGTTCAAGGGGCGGAGTCAGGCTGAGAGGCGAGGCTATATTGGGAGGTTGACCAGAAGCCAGGTTCTAGGTGTCTGGAAGAAAACTGCATGGGGTGGGGGCGGAGCCAGACTGGGAGTGGAAGGGCGGTGCTGAATAGAAACGGGTGAATGAACCCTCCACTTTGAGGCGTAGATGGGATAGGTGAGCTGGAAGAAGGAAGCCGGAGGGAATCTGGGTGGAGACCTGGCCAGAGTGAGAATGAGAAGAGACTAGGACTTGGGTCGGTCTTGGTCTGGGTTCAGGCCAAAGTAAAGGGGAGACTGAAGCAGTATCCCTTAATCCCGCCTGTACATTGAGAAGGACTGAGGAAGACAGGAAGTGGTGAACAAGGAGATGTTTCTAATGGGTCAGTGGGGTGAAAGGAATGACTATAAACAGTGTTCACTTCTGGAGAGGACTTAAAGGGGGCAGGTGGTTTGGTTTTTTTCATCTCATTCATTCATCACCAACCATTTACTAAAGATTGTGCCAACGTAAGAAGTTGGGCACCTATTTGGAAATGCACAACAGGCATTTGGAGGAGTCTGCCTGGAGTTCAGGGAAGAAGTATGGAGATGTGGATGATGAGTGCTTTGGAGACACCATAGCAGAAGCCTCAAGAATGCAGGAGATTTCAGGGTGACCAGGAGAGATTCTTGGGCCACTGAGACTGGAATGGGGGTAAACTTCCCTGCAAGCTGTGTGTTTCTGGAGGCTTAATGTCCTGGATCCTGCAGGTTGTGAAATAGTACCGGCTATATGATGTTTCATGTGATAGGTACTATGGGGAGTACCAAAGAAATAGAAGACTGTTCCCACTTTTGAAATGGGTATTTCAAGGAGCTGAAACATTTCCAATAAATCATATATCCAAAATGTTTAAGGCTATTAGGTCTGAGGTGGAAGTAGAACTTACCTAAAAGTTGGAGCCAAGTCCTGGAGGCTTCCTGCTATGTCAGGTGTAAGCCCTTTAGTTGCTCTATCAGGAGGCTTGGGGAAGGGAGGAATTCCCGGGGGGGGGGGCATTGGATGGATGAGTTCACAGAGGGTCCAGGGGAGGTAAGTCTTTCAGTAGATACAGAAATACGAGGGGGACTCAAAAAAACCTGGATTTATTTTTTTGAAAGCAGGCCCTTGTGAACAGGCTTCCCTCACTAGGAACCTATCAGCATCAGTGTCCCAGCTAGCATTGTTGTGAGAGGCTGTGTTCGGCCTCAGTAAATTTTTTTTATATTTTGGTTGTTCTTTCAACATGTTTGCCCATTTCATGATGGGTGATTTACAAGAGCACCTGCTCACACTGTGCTGAGTGTTCAGCAGTTTTTGACCAAAAACAGCATGACCCCCACTCCTCACCCTGCCTATTCACCCTATTTCACCCTGAGCGACTTTTTTTGTTTCCCCAGATGAAAAAAGTCCTCAAAGGGAAATGTTTTGCCATTGTGGAAGAGTTGAAACAAAAAACGGCAGAAGCACTAAAAGACATTAAAGTTGATAAGCTCCAAAACTGTTTTGAACAGTGGAAAAATCATCTCGATAGGTGTATTGCAACAAGTAGAGAGTACTTTTGTAGGTGACTGAAGTTTCAACATGTAAGAATAAATATACGATTTTTTTATACATAAATTTCATTTTTGGGGGGTCCCCATTTGTATTTCAATATTTTCACAACTTGAATGGCCTTACTGTTGTGCATTGTCTAAACATGACGACTACAGAAGTCTGATTTGGGATCAAATACTCCAATGAGTGGTAATGATGTAAAGTACTTTGGGGTTCAGAGGGGAGAGATATGCCTATGGTCTAAGAAACTTGCTTAGCCTTAAGTGTTGCATTATCTCCTGAACATTGAGAAGGATGAGTAGAGAACAAAGCAATTTTCAAGGTATAGGAAGCAGATTGAACAAAGGGTCAGGGATAGAATACAAACTAGTGTATGTGGGGGACAGCAGGCCCATCTCAGAGTTTCGTCATAACTAAGGAAATGTAGTCAAGCAAAAGTGATTTACAATAATTCAAATTCTCAAATGTTCAATAAATTTTAATGGTGCATTGATAAAAATTGGAGACAACAATGTTCACCAATAGGAGACTGGGCAATTGAATTATTGTCCATCCATATAGAGAAACACTATGCAGCAGTGAAAAAAAATGACTGATATGGAATAACCCTTAGAGTAAATTTTTATTGTGGCAAAAAAACATCCCCACATAACATAAAATTCACTCACCCAGCAATTTCCAAGTATACAGCACAATAGCGTCAACCACATGCATGATGTAGTATAGCAGACTCTCAGAATCCCTCCCTGCCCCCACCCAGCATAACTGAAACTCTGTACCCACCCAGCAGCTCCACATGCCTCCACTCTGGCAAACACCACTCTACTCTCTGTTCCTATTGATTTGACCCTCATAAAGGTGGAATCTTGCAATATGTGTCTCTTCGTGACCAGCTCAGATCACTTAGCATGATGTCCTCAGGGTTCATCTATATTGTCACTTATGACAAGATTTCCTTCTTTTGTTAAGACTGAATTGAATGATACCCTATTTTATATAATGTGTATAGACCACATTTAAAAATAAATCTGTCATCTGTCATGGACATTTAGATCGTTTCCATCTTTTGGCTATTGTGAACAATGCTTCAATTTAAGATAATTTTTTAAAGAGGTGCAGAATTGTATATATAGCATGGTACTATTTCTGCTAAATAGAGAAAGGAGGAGAGGGAGGGAGGGAGGAAAGGAGGGTATTTCTTAATAGAGTAATTCACAAGCAGAAGAAACTGAATGACTGAGGTAGAGGGGTAGGTATAAGATTTACTTTCCACTATAAAAGCTTTTGTACCTTGAAAACTTTGCATCATTAAATGTACTATTTTAAAATCTAAATAAAACAACTTACTTAAAAAATACCTTAAGACCTTTGCTTGCATTTCTCAAAGGCTGTAACAGTATCTTACTCTATTCAACCTCCTGTTCTCCTGTCTACTTCTACTCCACACCCCAAAGCCGATCTACAGTCATTTCCAAATCCTGTTCACTTCTCATCTGCTAAGCGCCCTCCTTCACATCCAGCCCTCCTGCCCACCCCTCTCTTCTCTCTCTCAGTACCTTGTAGATCAGCTTAGCCTCTAATTACCTGCTCCCGTTTTCCTTCTATCTTCCCACGCAACATTGCTAAACCCAAAGAACCCACCTAGCTAAGAGCTGTCTTCCTGCCGTGTGTGTGTGCGTGTGTGTGTGTGCGTGTGTGTGTGTGTGTGTGTGTGTGTGTGTGTAGGTGGGTTGGGGGTAAGGGGACAGGATGTTGATAAAGAGAGAAAGCCATAATTTTAACATTATTTTTATCCCATTACAGTAGTACAAGGTAAAAAAAGAAATGTTTCAAAGAAAGAATTAACAGAAGTTAGTAATTCATCTCCCTACTTCCCTTCTTCCTCCTTCATCCACTTCATTCACTGCTGCCAGGTTGGTTTTTGTTTTTTTTTTTTGTAGTTTTGAAACTTAGATACTTTTTTGAATTTTTGTATTTGAAGCATGAGCATAGGATTTGGAGTCTGACAGACCTAGGTTCAAATCCTGGTTCTGTCAAATCCAACAGTGATGTTAGCTCACGGAGTTAGGTCCAAACTGTCTTGCAGGGTTTTTATGAAATTTAGACACAAGATATTAGGACACCAGAACAGTGTTACATTGTAGGTGTTCCATAAAGGATGAGAATTATTGTCATTCTATATCCCACTTAAAGAGACCTCCTCACTTTGCTGACTATTCTTGTCACTTTGCTCTAATCTGAGGCAGAACAGTTAGTAATAAACTGTATTTGAAACCTCTCTGCAACTTGCTTTGAAATACCTTTTTGCAGCAAGACAAGGACTCACAGAACAACTACACCCCACATCACTTGGCATCATAACCCAGACCTGGCTTTACCCCAAGCACTCGGTCGCATTTCCTTCTACCCCCCCACCCCAGCCCTTATCCTCCTAGCACTTACTTTCTCCTTCTAGATTCAAAAACCTCCAATTTGATTCTCTCGTGGTCAGACAATGTCACTCCTCTCATGGCTGCATCCAGTACTGATGGCCCTGACCTCATGTCTGCATGATTCTAGCGCCTGGATCACAGTAACTTTTGCTCCTGTCTTAAGGTGTGGTTAGACATATAAATGAGCCTTCCAATAACTTGGCCTCTGGGTTCCCTGCACCTTTCTCCTCCAGGGATCTGTCCTCCTCTCTCTTTCTCTCTCTTTTTTTTTTTTTTTTTTTTTTGGTTGGAGTCTCATTCTGTCACCAGGCTGGAGTGCAGTAGCACGTTCACGGCCACCCCAGCGTCGACCTGCTGGGCTCAGATGATTCTTCCACCTCAGCCTTCCAAGTAGCCGGAACTATAGGAGTGTACTACCACACCTGGCTGATTTTTTAATTTATTGTAGAGATGAGGTCCTGTCAAGTTTCCCAGGTTGTTCTCGTACCTGTGAGCTCAGGCAATCTGCTCACTTCGGCCTCCCAAAATGCTGGGATTACAGGCTTGAGTCACTGTGCCCAGCCACCTCCTCTCTATTTTAAGCAGCCCCTCCCATGGTCATTTCCAAACCTTGCATTCCCAATACCCACCACCCCCATGATCTGATTTCATGCACCTCCTTCTCTGACCATTACTTTCATCTTTCCAGCTCACTCCCTCCCATACCCTGATTACAGCAGTCCCTTGATCCTGCTAGGAGCTCCAATGTCTTGGCTTTGCCGCCTTCCCACTGTCCCTGGCCCACACTCGTGGTCTCTCCTCCTTCCTCAGCTTGAGTGCCATGCTCCTTTATCATCATTTCCTGGCATCAGCTCCCGGCTTAAGGCTTCTACCTCACTGTGTCATTCTCATTCAGCAAAATTTCAATTCCAATGAAACCCAGATCTCTGTATACTCCGTACCTGCAACTTACACCTAGGAAGCTGAATGGGGCCAGGAAAAACCAAAGGGGCTTCTCTTTAAATGTATGACCTCTAGTAGTCTTTTTTCTTTCCAGCAGACTTGCTATTTTTTCTATGCTAACTATCTTGTTCTTTTAGATCACTATTTTGCAACTTTCTCCTTTCTTCCCTCAAATATCCCAAACCATTCTCAATCTCACTTTGAGATGTTCTTGCTTCCCTCTTGGTTTAAAAAAGAAAGTGGAAATTATGTAATAAAATTTCAACAAACTCTTATATATTTGGTTTGTCTGCCAGTATCTATACTAGTATCTTCTGCCATCCCTTCCGTTGCTGCAGGCGGAGTGTCTGTGCTGTTGTCTGATGCCAACCCTAAGATTAAAACAGGGCTTGTGCCCTGAATTTTGCTCATTCTTGAGGTGGTCACTCTAGCAATTTTCCCTTCTTCCTCTACTCTTGCTTTTCCCCTCTCTCTACTAGAGAATTCCTATCAAACAATCCTTATTTCCCCTCACCAGCTGTCACCCCATTTCTATGACTCCCTTTATAGCAAAATTTCTGGAATGTGTGTATCTTCTTTCTGTCCCATTGTTTTCCTGTTTATCTCCTACTCACTCATCAGGATTTTACTCCCACACTTCACAGAAAGGCAACGAAAGAACTTGCCAGCCAGGCTCGGTGGCTCAGCCTATAATCCCGCAGCTTGGGAGGCTGAGGGGAGTGGATTGCCTGAGCCCGCGGG